AAGTTAAAATACTGCAATATTAATTTATTGTTATAAGCGTAAATCTGCGTAAAAATAATATAATAATAAAAACACTAAAAGGTACGTAACTGATTGTTACTGGCTGAAAATAAATAAACATTCAAACGAGATAACCACAGATACTAGCAGGTCGGTATATCGACGCTGAATAATAAACAAATTTAATTATTAATTTAGCTAAAAAAAACAATGTGCACTATATTTAACAATTTTTCTTTTTTGAATTTCGCGTCGATTTATATAATATCTCCAAAATAATCTACAACCGAAAACGATCACGTTAAGATGGAGGTGATGATCATATATCAGAAAACTGTCGAATATTCAGGAAGTAGTAGGTAAGACTAATAACGAAATTCTTAAATCCGGCGATAATGATCAATGTACAAATTATAGACCTATATATGGCTATATCCTTCTATCTCTAAATATTTGAAAAACGATTAGAACAACGTTTGATTGATTTTTTGAATATATATAAATTTTTACTACAAACTAATTTGGATTTTGGAAAAATAATTCAACAAAATTTGCACTGTTATTAGCATCGAATTGTATTCATTCTAGTAGACATTAACAATGACAATAATAAGGTAGGTGATTGGTTTGCATTTAGATTAAAAAAATGATTTACATAAAAAAATATTAAAATATTAATGTGGTATTATTGGTATTGCTCAAGATGTTTTTATTTCATATTATTTTTCAAATAGATTGCAATCATTGTATTTTACATTGTATCAAAGTTGGACCAAGTTTGTCGTATTCCACCTATGGTGGATTAATATAATCAGTTAATACAAAATCCTAACCATACTAATATCAGATGAATAAAAAAAAACCAAATTTAACTATTTTTAAATTAGACTGCCTTCTTCCCAGAGTTCGAATATACACACAAACATTAATTTATTCATATATATATATTGACAAAAAACAATAATACAAATCAAAAAACATAGCCGATTAACCAATAGCAACCAATATAAATTATAATAAACTCAGATTTCCTACTTTTCCGGTGGATTTACCTAAAATTTTCTTTCTTATTAACCTTCCCCCGGTGATTATGAATATCTTAAAAAAAATTTGAGCCAAATCGGACCAGCCGTTCTCAATTCATAGGGTAACGACCATTTTTCACTCTCCATTTTTATTTATATAGATTATGATGTGGAGATATCAGATTCAATAATATTCACTCAAATCACCGAGGTACACACAAACTTAAACCTAATTTATAATAATATGTTTATTATATATTTATACCATAAATCATTATTGTACAACGTATATAATAAGACATTATAATATATCAATGTAATAATATACTATAATATAACGCAAATGCATAAAAATTCAGTCAAATGTAATTAGGTGAAGTTAAAATATTGCGATGCTTGTTAAAAGCTTGAATCTGCGTAAAAAAATAATATAATAATAAACCTAACTGATAGTAGCTGGCTGAAAAGAAGTAAACATTTAAACCACGGATACTACTTGACAGGTCGGCAGTATCTATATCGACGTTGAATAATAAACAAATATTATAACTATTTAGTTTACCTAAAAAATCAATATGTACCTATTTTATTATATTTTATATCTGTATATCCAGTGATTGTGTTACACTGATAAATTATAGGTAAAAACCAATTCTTATTTTGGGAATTTCACGTCTCTTTATAATTTATAATAATATAGTATTCTCTAAAACGGACTTCAAGCTAAAGCGATCACATTATGATGGGGATGATGTGACCATATTATATTAGATAACTGTCGAATATCAATGAAGTCGTAGGTAAGAATAATAACGAAATTATTAAATTCGGCGACAGTGATCAATAGAGTGCGAATTTAAATGCATTTAAAACCAACATAATAGGCGCTAAAAAATCTTAAAAATGCATAAATATATGCACTAAAATGTTTAAATATGGATGAAAATTAAAAATTAGCAATAAGTGGTATTGTTTGAAAGTTTAATTAAAACAATATGTTTCAAATTATTGAACCCTTAATTAAATACTTTTCTTCATTTTTATTCTCAAATATTGTCAATAATGGTCAATGGTCGTAGTCGATATTTTCTTATTTTGGTATAGGTTTTATATTTCAACGATTATTGATCTAATGTCATCTTTGATAAAACCGTTTATACCTAAAAGTATAATATCTATTAATTTATTTTGATATTAATCAAAACAATAAAATTATAATATTATTTTCTTATTTTACAATGGTATATATTTCAAAAATGTCTAAACAACCATCAAAATATGCACTGAAGTCTGAAAGATGAAATACCTATGCAATTAAAATTTTAAAATAAGCCCTTAAAATAGCGAAAAATGGGTAAATGTTCAATTATTCGAAAATATGCACTAAAAAGACGTTATTATTGTACTAATCATTGACCTATCTCTTTCTACCTCTTTAAATATCCAAAATATTTGAAAATTGATTAAAACAATGTTTGGTTGATTTTTTGAATATACATAACTTTTTTTCTATTAACCAATTTGGATTTCGGAAAAATAAATCAACAAAATATGCACTGTTATTAGCTTCAAATTGTATTGTTCTAGTAGGTATTGACAATGACAGTAATAAGTTAGGTAATTACATACTATTTCAGATTTAAAAAACGCTTTTCATTAAAAAAAAATATTAAAATATTGTGCGGTATTCGTGGTATTGATCTAGATGTGTTTACATCATATTATCTTTCAAATAGATCGCAAGTAGTTAAAATTGAAGAAATATATACTCTAGGATCAGTCGTCTTAGGATCATTTTTATTTCTTATATTTACATAAATATTGTATTATTAATCTTAAAATGTCAGGAAATATTAATTGTTATGCTGACGATACATTATAATTTATAGTTTCAATTGAACATAAAAGAAATTGATGAATATTGTATTAATTAATGATTCAATGTACCTACTGTGATGAATTAAAAATAAGCATGCACGTTGTTATTGATAAAACTTTACCTTATGAATCATAATAATATATTAACTGAGGTGGTGCAGTTACTATAGTTAGCTATTGTAATGAATAATAATTAAAAGGATTTAGAATGTTGACTTTTTTTTTCCAATCTTTTATTATTCATTAAAGCATATACTATTTATTACGATCGATTGGGATCATGAGTATAGATTTATAAAAGAATTTATTTATGATACATCCGAGTCTGCGTGTCTTTATTAATTTGTTGCTGATGATAATTCTATTGTTGAAATTGTGTGAGTATGTATTATTATAATTTCTTACCTGGTTGATGTTAGGTACTTGATTAAACGATGATAGATTTTAAGATGAGAGTTTTACAATGTTAGTTTTCTCGAAATGACGTAAGCACAATTTTGATATGAGTAAAAGTTATTTTAATAATTCACAACAAGATATAAAATTTGAATGAGTACGTTAAATTAATAATCACTGTATAACTTTGGTAGCGAAATAACACTGTGTGTGTGATACTGTGTTACTGAGCTCCGACCCAAGTGATGGAAGCAGACTGATCTAAATATCGAAATGGGGGTTCTACTTATAGTATTGACCTTTATTGATACCTTGATGTTCCATATTAAATTGTTGTTGTTTATTTGGAATAAGTGCATGGGTATAATCAAATATATATATAATATGGTTATTATTTATTAGTTGTTTTTGGTCATATTTTTATTAATATCAGGGTAGGTATATGGGTACAGATATTTATTATGTTTTGATAGTGTTTATTAGATATTGTATTGTCATTTGATTTCACAGTGAGTATGAATGTTGTTGTTGTGTATAATTTTGGATACTATAATTGGTACCTACATGGGTACAGATATTTATTGTGATATTTTGGTAATGACATATTTAATAGTATTATGATGGTATTGAATCATGAAGCTGTGTTGGTGAAATGATGCAGATATCATTACAGTACTCGAGAATCAGTCATCTTAGGCTCCTTTTTTATTACTTATTTACATAAAATATCGTCTAATTAATCTTAAAATGTCCGGAAATAATATTTGTTTGCTGACGATACATTATAGTTTCTGCAATGGAACATAAAATAAATTGATGAATATTGTATTATACTTAGCGATTTAACGCACCTACATGTATAATAATATTTTTATATTTACGATAATTTAATAGTTTAATTCATTCAAATATCGTTATTATTGTTTTTGGTACCTAAAGGCAATATAAGTTCAGGACATATTATTTTTTTTTAAATTCATCACAACCAGGTATTGTAACAACCAGGGTCAGGAATCGTATTCTGTGAAGTGTGGTGAGGGGTGGGTCTAAGTGCTATAAAGAATAGTTAATTATATATTTATTAATATTAAAATCGATAGAAACTCAAAACCCTTAAGAAACTAAATGTTTAACTCAACTTTAACTTTTATACTCATTAATGCACAGCATAAGTATAATTATTGACTATACTTTCATTATAACAAGGAAATATATAGATTTTAATTGAATACCTATCATAATGAATAATTAATAGATTATCGTAACACTTTCAGCTGCCACCGATGTTTTAAACATCCATTCAAACTTTTGTTCTCGAATACTTAGAAATCCAAGATGAAGCAAAAGAAAAGTGTTTTTGTGTAAATATTTGCAAATAAATAACATTATCTCCCCCGTCGGGACCCACCTTGATGTGGTGGGGGAGCTTGCGGGCCTTTAGTTAGGTCTTACCAAGCGGTCCCAACCCGGCTGTGACCTTAACCGGTTGAAGTCGGAGCTTCAAGAGCCGCCCTTGCCTTAAGCAGCTGGGGTCGGCAGGTTGGAGGTAGCCTGCTAGCGCTAGCAAAGCCCTAGTGGAAGGAAAACCACGATAAAAAATTCTGAGCTGGCCCTTTCTCTGAATAAGTGATAGGAGAGAGGGCTGGTAAGGTCGGAGGCAGCCTGCTCCCGCTGAGCGAATGCCCCAGTGGAAGAAAAACCATGATAAAAAAAACCCTTAACCCCCAACTCGTAAAGGGGGAGTACTTGGCACGGAGGTCAGTGAAACGTGTCTACGAGGACCCTGTGGAAGACCAGGCAACCTTCCACAGTAGCCTATTTTGGCAGCCTTCACTGCGGTACGCTGCACTGCCGCAGTGCGACTTTTATATCATGCATACTCGTGGGAATCATATGGAGAACCTCAAAAAACCAAACCGACTTGATACAATGGACAAAACAAACGCATCGGAAACAGCAACAATGGAGAATATGGAAAACTTAAAACAAATATGGCATTAGGAACTCCCTTCAGAAAGCGGGGTCGTCTACTTCTACTGAAAAGGTAAATTTTTCTCGTAGTTACGATTTTCAATATTTCCAACACAATTTTTCTTCTAAATTCGTAGATGTTTATTGTGTATGCACTATGCAAACTTAAATTTTATTTTTAAATTATGATTCTCTATACACTTATACACATAATATTATATATTATGGAGTATAAGAAAAATTATGTCTGAAAGTCGAAGACACTATATTAATAAAAATCCATCTGGACTTATTTAAGGCCCTTGCATATACCTGCAAGAACGTAGCTGTAGCTACCAACAAGACTTTACCTGACTACAAGCGAAAGCGATCATCTTATGAATATGATGACCATCATAATAGAAAATTATCTCGAACCTCAACATCCACACTCGATATCCATCATGTAATTGGTAAGTAATATATACGTCAACAAACCAAAGACATAATAACGAAATATACCTATACTTAAACTATACGGTCGATATCAATGCTTCCCTATTTTAGAGCCTAACCAGAGCGATGATTGTATTGATTTTTTCATAGTGTAGGTACGCAGTGTTGAGAATAGATACAAAAAAACATTTAATTTAGATAAGATAGAGATAATTATATATCTATTTATTAAGAATTCTGGGTATATACCAGTTATCTAGGTAATACAGTAGATAAAACTAATTGAATAACTAATAACAAATATACAACAATGCAGGATGTACCTATGG